ATTCTTTTTTACTTGTTTCAGGGATTTCAAATCATTTTATATAGTAGACAATGGAAGTCCGAACTAGTGAAATTCATCACGAAACATTGTCAATCACCTTCAAACAAACAACCTGTATGTACTACATGCCAAAGAGTACTAACAGTACAACATATACTTGTAGAATGTGAGGAAACCAAGAGACAACATAAGGAGACACCAAGAAATTCTATGTGATGTTTGAAAAACAAACAATAAGTCTGCTGCTAATAACCTAGCAGTTAATTCCGCAAAAAAAATCCAGTAATTCAAATCCAACGTGAATTGCTACTTTTGCACAGCAATTCATGACTTGTTTTCTACAAGTTAACAGAATTTGATGCATTTCTTTTTCGTACATTCCTCTTTTTGTTTCTCCATCCTGTGTTTAACAAGTATTCATTTCTCGTTATCTTTCATATTACTTTGTTCTCTTTTTGTTTTTGTTGATGAATATCCAAGTTACCAAACAAATACCACCGTGTGATGTAAATTTATATTTTGTGACTTGTCAGGTTAGTTTTTGAAGTTATATAATAACATTCAAAATAGCAAGGGTTGAGTAGTAGAGCACCCTTTGGTGAACTCACCCTTAGGATTTCTGAGTAGCAAGGCGAATACCATGTAAATGTAAAATAATAGATAAGGCAGAATTGTGAAATTAATTCAAGTTGTTATACCTGCATGGTTGGTATGCCTGGATGGTTTACCTGTATGGGTTACCTATATAGCATAAATAGGGTTAGCTCACATTAGTTTCTAGTTTTAATCTTCCTCTTCAAAGATGATCACTTGGTGATCGAAACACGTGTCGAGGTTTTAAAAATAACGATTTGGTGTTGAGAAAAAACTCCAGTAATATCAAACACCAGTCTGCCATCATGTAAACATTCCACCGACCTTGGTATCTGCGTTCCATTTCTTTTATATCTTGATGGAACCGTTCTCCTTGTTCCTCACTTACAGCCCCTAGATTTTCGGGAAAGTAGTCCAGATGTCAGTGAAGGAAATGGACTTTGACACTCATGTTGCAGCCCAACATTTTGTAGTTCTGTATCAATTCAGCAACCAAAGTTTCGTAGTTTGGGTCTTTTTGTTCCCATCAAAGCCTGTTATAACAAGTTTAAATGAAATCCAGGCATTTTTTTCTTTCATTTCCATTTTAGTAACAAAGCTTTCATCTTTTAAAAGTTCTCTTATGTCAGGCCCAACGAAGACTCCTTCTTTTAGTTTAGCAACGGATAGACCAGGAAACTCTTCAGAAAGATACTTGAAACAATCTCCTTCTTTGTCTTATGCCTCCACAAACTGTTTTATTAGCCCCAATTTGATATGGAGTGGTGGAGGTAAGATTTTTTTAGGATCCACTAAACATTGTTTTTCAACATTTTTAACTCCAGGAATAAGACCCTTTCTTATTGGCCACACCTGCTTGACATACTGTTGTTTCCTGTCACGGCTATCCCATTCACATAGGAAACATGGAAACTCAGTGTAACCACTTTGTTGACCTAGTAACATTGAAATAACTTTCAAGTTTCCACAACTGGTCCATTTATGATCAGAGTAGCTGAGCTTATCAAGAACGAATTCAAGATTTTCGTAGCACTCTTTCAAATGGACTGAGTGTCCAACAGGCACAGAAGCATATTGGTTCCCATTGTGAAGAAGTACAGCTTTGAAACTTCTTTTTGATGCATCGATGAAAAGTCTCCATTTCTCTGGTTCATACGTTATGTTGACCATTTCCATGACGCCGGGTACATTGTTGCAGAAAACTAGGTCACCGTCTTGTGAAAAAAAGGGACCAATTCTTTGTCTCTAAATCGGTATTATGAAAATTAAATACCGAAGGCTAACTAACATATGTCTTTCTTTAAGTCTAGACCCTAAAACTTCTCTCCCTTGAGAGGCTGGATTTTCCCAGTTTAGATTCGTTTTGTTATTGACATAAATCGATTGAAACCGTATTTTATCTAAGATGTACACTTACATCGTGAGTGATGTTCATCATTCATAAAAGCTCCATAATTCAGACTCAATTTACCGCTTATATAGGCTATATAATACAGAAACATCGAACACATACCGAACCTAAAAACCCATTTAATAAGAAAATTTCAGGTGAAATTTGTGACTTATCTATAGGTGATGAATTTCTTCACTATTTTTTCTGTAATCTGCACACAAAATACTGTAAAAATCACTAGTTAAATATCCTACAATTTTTTCATCGCTGACCTGTGATAGTCGATAACGCAATGGAATCTGAGGTAGAGGACTTTGTTTCGACCCCCAGTTTACAAATGAAATCGAGAAGAACGGATAGTTACCATGCTTTGATGCCCTGGTGATTCAAACTAATTGTGAGCCATGAATTTGATGTCTATAGGGAAAATACCAGATCTTCCAGATACACGTGTGGAGAAAGGCATTCTTTGTCTTCCATTGCAGGACAAATAGTTGCAACCAAAGTCTGAAAATAAAAGCATTCTGGGCTCTTGTTTCAACTGATTGTCTTGCAGCGGAAGCTGAAAAACAGAGGACTGATTCCGTTTGGAGGTCGATGAAAAAGATTGGCTTTCCAGTGTCACTATTTTGATAGGAAAGGGTCAATGAATGTTATTGACAACATACCAAATCCAGGTACAAGTATTATTACTCCAGACTACCTCAATCAACATAAACACGCTTTACGTTATTTACCTAAGCCAACTAATGCTATTAGCACACTAAACTACCTGGGGAGGCAAACGTTACTCAGGTGTAATATCCAGCCGTAATATCGGAGAGAGAAGTCAGGATATATGAACCCCTGAAGAAGTTGGCTATTCCCGTCTGCGAAACTATGACATTCAAACCGAGAAACTAGTGACAGAAAACTTCGGCAGCAAAAGCCTTAACAATTTCGTTATGGCTTTCCAATTGAATATTGTTTCGAATATTGTTACTTAGAAAGACTCATTGCCTTTTTGAATGAATTTTACATTTCAACTAGCAGCCAACAAGGTTTTCGAAGAGAAAAATCAACTACAACTGCTATTAATCACTATTTTAACGATCTACTAGAGCGCATTGATCGAAGAGAGATTCGTTACGGCATTTTCTCTGACCTGAGTCGAGTTTTCAACTGTGTTGATCATGATATTCTCATATCGAAGTTATAAAACTAACAATGAAGCAAAAAATTTAATAAACATAACTAATAACTAATTATTGAAATGTTTCGATTCAGTGCAACAATTAATTCTAACTCATATTCTAGTAGCCTCTACTAATCCAGCACGTATTTCGATACATGTGTCGTAGCGGTTACGAATGTTTCTGATTACGTTTCTTAGTTCTTGAGGGCTAATATCCTGCACATATCCGTTGAATTCTTGCACAAAGTTCATTTCAATCTCTTGAGCGGTTTTTGTAAACCATTTGTGTGAGAAGTCCCCAGAGAAAAAAGTTCAAAACTGTGAGGTCTGGAGATCTGGGTGGCCACTCTATAATGCAGAAGTTATGAAATCGATACAAGGGCCATAGACGAGATCGCAATCAATACGTCTGAGAGGGTAATTTTGAGAGACCTACTAAGATAGTGTCTGTTTGAATACAGATGTTTCAGAGTACCGTACGATTTTTGAATGAGAGTATCAACCTGATGAACAAATCTGAGGTTGTAGTCTATATGAAGTCCTTAACATTTCATTTTGTCAGTCAATTCCACAAAAAATCCATCAATATACGAATTGATATTATCTATGGCTTTTCCACGATCTTTGGCT